TGTAATAGGTGAAAAAAAAAAAAAACAATGAATTTCACCTTAACTCCATAAAACATATAAAGTAACTGGATGAATGAACAGAAAGTTAAATTGAATGAAATTAAATGCACATAAACCTGTTTGTAGGCACCAAGTGGGATATCAAGAAAACCAGAGTGAGTTGCACCACGTGACAAAGAAAAAAAGGACTAGCTATGTGTGTGTAAAAATGGTGGAATACATGGAAATAATGATGCCTATGGCTTGTGAAAAAATGGATGGATTTTTTATGGATGAGTAGATATGGTGATAGGATAAAGAATTGGCATGATATGTAGGCAATGAATCTTGTTAAGTATTACTTATACATGTGGTAATGAGAAAGTGACACTCAAAAGTCAAATTATTAGCAAGAGATAATTTTCCTTATTTTTGTTAGGTATAGATATCACTTAAGAAACAAGGTTAGAAAAATTAAAAAATTAGACTATGTAAGATTGTTGTTGGGATACAATCATATTTTTTTTAATTGCATACTCAAAATCGCGTTTTAAAATAATATAACTATAAGTATTATTTTATTCAAAGAGTATAAAACGTCGGTTCGTCTAATTGTTAGGTTGTGTTCACTGTAGCAATTTGAATTGGTTTTGTTTTTGACATGTCTCTTATTAGGCAAACTTAATCGTTAGATAATTATACTTTTTCAACAAATTTGTTGCATACTCAATATCATGTTTTAAAATAGTATTAGTACAATATTCGTGTATTACACGGGTGTTGAATTAGAATGCTTTTGTAAAAATTTTTTTTTTAAACTAAAATAATTTAATTTTATATAAAACATTAATTGAGTTTTAATTAAATTGTCAAAGTATAGTTTTTTAATTATAATAATTAAACACCCGTACATTAAATGAAAATGTCAACCCCGGTGGAATCTTTTTACTTATATCATATAAAAATATCGATATTATTTACTATTACATAAGTACAAAAATATATATCTTAAATAAATAGAAATAATATGGTGATATGTATATGTATAAGTGTAGAATATGTTTATTTATCAATGATCAATTAAGCCAAAGTGACAAATAATAAAAATAGGAGGGAGTATATATATTATTATATATTTTAGTATGACACATGTTACTTGTGTGACTTATACGTGTTATACTATAATAAATTTTCTATCTTATAACATATAACTACATTAAACATAAATATATTAATTGATAATAATTTTATTTTCTAATTAATTTTAATAAATATTTTTTTGTTATAAAGATAAATATAATTTATTTATTTTATATATACAATATGTATGTCAAATCGAAGCTCATCAAAAGATGATTAGTTTGATATATTATATATGTAAAAGCGATAAGAAATACAAAAGTTATCAACTTTTAAAATATATTTTCAATTCAATGGTTATAATAAGAAACGATATTAAAGTACAATTAATATAAATATTAATTTATATCCAAGCTTAACTCCAAAGCATGATTTTTTGCCAAATAAAATTACGAAGCATGAGAAATTACCACGTAGACTCAGCACATTCTGAAATTATATATATAAAGGGGATAGTTATATATGTGGTTTGTTTAGAAAGTATAATAGGTGGATTCAACTAATAATTTTTTATACTGGTGAGTGTAGCAATTGGGTTTCACTTTTTAGATTAGTTACCCAATCTTACCCAATCTTGATGATAGTTTTTGTAATAATTGCCATAAAATACCACATTTCTAATGCTTTAATAACTTGGGAACATGCTTTTAATTAAATGCAAAGACACTTTGCTTGTAAAACAAACAAAGAAACTAAACTTGCCTTTGTAATAATTTAGTTATTGTTATGAGAATAAGTGGGTCTCTTTTAATTCTCCTTCAATTGTTGTCTGCCCAAACACAATAAAACACATATAATGACTCTGTAAGATAGATTAATTGTTATATCCATTACTATCCAATTTAATTGGACAATGAAGCATAGATGAGAGAGGACAAGAATTTGATCCCATTTATCACACCTTCTAACTTTACATAGGACTTTACAAAATTAAATATATTATCTAACCTCGGTTGAATATATAGTTTGATTTGAAAATTGAAATTAATCTTTGATAATTTGAGTGATTGTGTTACCACTATGTTTGATAAACTTAGTTGATTAGCTAGCTTATAGTTGGTAAGTTAGCTTACACTTTTGAAGTGAATTTCGAGCTTATAGCTGAAATAATAACTTATATGATAAAAGTGATTGTAAAATTAACTGATAAACTAGCTGGAATAAAAATTTCAATATGCTTATTTGAAAAGCTACCTAAGAAAACTTATGAAATAAGCTCGAGCTTTTTAAAAAGTTTGCTCTTCCAGATCAAACTTATTTGAATACATAAATCATATAAGTCAATCAAATAAGTTATAAGTTATGCGTACCAAACTCAGTCATAGCCATAAACATAGCCGAAATACTTATAAATAGTTTACATAAAAATTAGAAAATAATAAAATGGTATGAAAAATAATAAAGTTAAATAAACATTTCACAAAAATAATACTACACACACAAATTGATTGAAAAACAAAAAAATTCTGAAATATCAACTAATAAAAATTCCTATCTTACAACATATGTTTTTCTGACATATTCAACGTGGATACATTAAGATGTGCTCACCAGTCACATGTCAAGATCTCATGATCTTTAATGGACAAAATATTTTTTTACATATCCATCGTGAATATATTAAGATGTGTTCACCAGTCATATGTAAAGCTCTCGTAATTTTTAATGGACAAATTAATTTGTGTCTATTGTTAACCGGAAAAACGTAACTAAATCAGTAAACATAAACTTATAAAATACTTAAGCTGGCCTAAGTTTAAGAGATTGATAACTATGCCAACTTCATCTAGATGATAGATTAATGAATGTATTATGTCACCATAAATGATTGTCATTTGCCACTGCTTATCAAACAGATGCATTATTTTTTTCAGTCGTAATTGCTGAATTTAAATCATTGTCCCAATTTCTATAAAATAATTACAACTAATAATGGCTCAAGGGACCTGCTTCTAGCACAGCTGCACAAGGAAGGATACATTAATTCATTTTGAAGAGAGTTATTTATATTGTCACATATAGCTAGCAATTAGCAAGTATTACTTGACAAATGATCATATGCTATGAATTGGAAAAACAGAAATAATATATCATAAAATTATTATACCAGTTCGTTTTCAGAGACGACCTGATTATGGTCGAAGTGGGCATTCGTCAAGGGCCCCCAATTTATTATTCATAAAGTCATTATATATGATATATTATAACTGTAAATTAATTTTCCTTGTTAATTAAGGGCTTATTGAAAACATTGTTAAAATATCTCAAGTTTTGCTTGCATACAAATATATCCATTCAACACGAGTTTCTTTGTTTAACCAAAATTAATTTGAAAAATGTAGTATGATAAGTTATTAGTGAGATTTTGAATTTATATTAAAATAATATTTAAAATGAAATCATTAAAGTTGATTTGATGTAAAAATAAAATAAAGATACTGTGAAATGATGATTAGTTAAAATTATGTGAGTGGGTGGATATTGAATTAAAATTGATATGATGTTGAAAATAATTGATTGATATTATTTATTTATATTGATAATATTAAATATAGTGGTGTTGAGTTAAATTGAGTATGAATTGAATATATACTGAAAAAACTTATAACCAAATACCCCTTAGTTGACTACTAATTATTAAATGTAGATCCATAGAAAAAAGAATCTACTACTCTTTACCGCTAAAACTGTGTGATTGAATATTGTTTTGATTAGAAAAAACTAATCTATTCATTTTTTAAGTCAATTTTAACCCAATCTCACTATCTTGGATATTATTTGTATAATTAAATTTTATCAATTAAGTATAAGAAATATTGTTTTTTCTTGTTTTTAGTATTTATTTTAAATTTAATGTACGGCAATTTAATTATATTGTTTTTTTTTTCTTTTTTTTTTTGCAATTTGGATACAATTGTAAGTATATTATTTTTAGCTATTCTATATGACTTAAAAAATGCTTGATTCATTTTTCCAAAAAAATAAAAAATAATAAAAATATATAGTTTCTAGATAAAATAATACTTATTTATTGAGAAAGTTTTGAAAATTATATATAAATGATCATATATCTAATAACACTATTAAATCATTATATTTTATTCAAATAATTTGTTTATACCTATTCTTAATATTTTAATTGTAAATTAGTTTTGTAACTATTTTCTGACAATTTAATTTATATTAAATTTATGGAAATTTGGATACACTTATAATTATATTTCAATTTAGCTTTTCAAAAAGCTTTAATTTTTTAGAAAATATAGAATTTATAAATAAATAATAATAATGTAGTGACTTTTTTAAATAATTATTTTTACAATACATTCTCTTCAATAATATATAAATTTACTAAAACTAATAAATACTTACATTCTATTCAAAAATCAATATTTATTTTAACTTGCCTCAATCATACAGTACGACAACAAAAAATTTCCTAACCATTTTAATCCAATATGTTTCAATTATTGAACTAAATTTAAGGATAATTTTTAAGAGAAATGCTATAAGTACATAATATTGTAC